ATTTCCTACCTAGTAGAACGAGAAGATGGGAAACAAAGGATGGTCATAGGCAGCGAGCAAGACAAAAAGCAAAAAAGAAAAAAGAAACAGACCCTCACGACGAGTCCACCACCCACATGGTGCACGACAAAAAACAGCGGCAGCAAAAGACGGTGAAAATTAAAAAAGAAAAAATCAACTCAAAACAGCAGAGCACTGACAGCAAGCACAGTTGGGCTATCCCATCCACAACGCCTTCCCTCTAGACCAGAGAAGGGCAAGTGATGCCATGCCATGTTCACGCTTACTTGGAGCGTTGGCGCATACGCCGGCGGCGTCGCTTTAAGCGCTTTATGCGCTTCTTGTGCCACTTGGGCCGCATGCCTCCTGGACGGCTAATCGTCCCCATTTGTGCTCTACGCAAGTGTGGAGAGGAACAATCAAGCAAGAAGACGAAGAACAAAAAAAGAAAAGCAAACAACAATGGCGAGGACCTCAATGTCCACTCACGCAAACATACACTATTCCCGAGCAGACAGACACAAAAGAGAAAAAAAACGCCTCCACGTGCATACACCCACAAAGAAAACCTCACAGCACAACACGAACAACACAAAAACAATGCAATGAAGAACACCGCAGCGCATTCGCACACATACGCCCGTGGTTTCGTTTGGCCCATTGGCCCCCACTAACCGACCGAGAAGCAGCTAACCCGCCGGCAATGGAAGGACGGTGACGGAGCCGTTGTCGTCTATGTCAACGTGCAAGGACACCGGGGCCAAGGGGCTGTCCAGCAAATGACGCAAAATTCCCGGACCCACCAACGCCGAGACAGCATGCGCAACACAGCGACCGTTCTCCATCGGGAGATCATCATGCACAAGTTCAACAAACCACAAAACCGCATCCTCGCTCACGCGCAACTCCCGGATCGTCTCGCCGTGCCGGCATTTATAGTCCTGGATAGTCAAACGAACAATCTCCTTTGCTGTATCCAGTGCCGCCGGAAGAAATGGGAATGTTTCAATCATCGACGACGACAATTGGCTGTAGAGGCTCTTAAAATCATCCTCAACGATACGACGCATTTCCATGAGGCTCTTGCCTCGTGTTCTGCCCTGCCGTCCAAAATCTGTGGTCACAATAACAACTAAACGGCCGAGAGGCACGTTGGAAGCCTCAGGAAACGAGGGCGCCCTGCCCAGCAATGGGAGGAGGACACGCACAAGGTCCGGATGCAGGGCCCCAAGGTCGTTGACGATGACGACACCATTTTTTGGAAACCTCAGAACGTGCTGCACTATCCTCTGGACCACGACCCGACGGAACTCCTGCACACTGTAGCCGTCATAGCTAACACCCGAGAGCACCAGGGCAGAGTCACCTGTCGTGCACGCGGCATCGTGGCACCTGAGGCCCAGGGCCAAAGAAATGAGCTGCGCCAGTGTTGTCTTGCCTACTCCATTGTCCCCCGCGAAGTGAAGAACCAGCGGTTTGTCGGGATTCTCAAGCTTGGCGGCAATGCCGCGGATGACGCCTTCGACCACATGTGTCTGTCCCTTTAAGTTCCGTTGTGTGAGTCTCCTCAGCCGAACCAGCACCTGCTGCTTGTAATCGCTTCGGTCAACGTCCACGGGGTACTGGAACAAGAAGCACATCAGCCTCTTCACTAGGGTTGGGTGTGAGCTGCACAAAGGCCGCAGGGTGCAGTCACCCGCCTCGCCGGGATGAAGTTCGACGCGGGCCACCCAGGGAGTGAGAGCCGCAACAACAACGACTAGAAACGCCAGAACCCAAGTGGCGGTTGCGCATGAGCCCATCGGCAGGATTCACACCTCAAAGGAAAGTGACACGTGCAGGGCCAACAGGCAGCCTAAAGTAAAGGGGGATAAACTCGGGAAAAAAGAAAAGCAAAACCAAATCCAACAGCCAGCGTTACGCAAAAGGGGCCCAGCACCGCTCCAGCCACCCGGCGGAATGACGATGATATGGCCGGAAAACAAAAAAAAAAGCAATCAATTCCTCCTTTTTATCCTTTTAATGGATTTTTTTCCCCATGTCCTCAATTTGTTGAAAATTTGGCCTCCCAGTTGAAAAAGGGACCATATCCTTCAGTTGGCATTCAGCTGTACACACAAATAATACACATACATAGATAATATCCCCGTTACCCCAGAAGCAGAACAAACACACACACACACACACGTATTCAAACGGCCAAACAAACAAAAAAGTAAAGTTGCTAGTTTCCTCATAAAATCATCAGTTGAATATTTTTATTGTGGCACAGTCTTTCACTCTACACAACCATTTTTTTTCTCCTCCGTGGACAAGTCGTCCTGCAAATCCTCGAAAAGATTCAGCTTCTCCTCCGCAAGCCTCTCCTCGACGGCGTCCGGAGCTATGCGCGCATTGTGCAAGCGGTAGCCGATTAAGCAGCACCACTTTGCGGCGTTCGCAAAGGCAATAAATGAACAGAAGTGCGACTCCCCCGTCCACCGCTGCCTCAGCATGAGGCCTCGAGCCAACAAATACATCGCAACGCCAAGAAGGCCCAAGGTGCCTGTCAGTACAACTGACTGGAAGAGAACACGGCTCTTGCTTCCCGGCGAAAAACGCTTACAAAGCGTTTCCGCTTGGACAATGTGCATGAGCGCCGTCAGGGCAATTAAGACGCAGGCCAGTAAAAATCCAGCTCCCGCCCAATAATTTTTGAAGTGCTTTATGAACACAACAACACCCACTGCGTAGGACACAATGAACAGCACATACAACGTCAGACGAATCCGAAGGCATGACTTTTCTGTAAGAGCCATGTTTTCTCCCTCCCTGGTATCGTCACTGAATAACCTTTCCTCGTGTTACGTTTCCCCTGCGCGTTAGTACCACTCTTTCCTTCTCTCCGAAAGGCAACCCACGGCGCAAAGAAATACATCACATACCCATACCCATACATGGGGGTGTGAGAGGGGAGAAGAAGAGAAGATGGGCGGAGAAAGGCAAAATAGAAAAGCAGAAGAAAAGCCCCACCACTGCAAATGTGCCATGGCATTGCACCAGGGGCCTCCCGCTCACAACCAGGGGAAATACCGCACCAGCCGTCCAGCTTGTTCATTCAAAGACTCTAGCAAAGCTGCAGGATGCTGCTGCTGCTGGTGGTGGTGCGGCCGGCAGCTCCACAAGAAGAAGACTCCAGGGGCCTGAGGGCGCCCCTCTCCCGCACTCCCTCGTCCCATACAATCAAAACAATGACGACACAAAAAGTCTCCTCGGACGCCACTCACTCAACCGATCCGTCTCTCTGATGGCGCTAGAGCAGCGCCGCAGCAGGAACGCTTGCGTGCTTGTACGGGAAATGTCGACATCCTTTCCCGAAACAGGTGTCATGCCTCACATGGAAGCTTTGCGTCAGAACCGTCTACACGGTAGTTGGATCAATGTACATACCCCTTCCTGCAGCACGCTAATTATGGCGCTACTCCTCAACCTCGTGCGGGAAAAGACGCTCCAACTCATTTTTGCCTTCAGCCGCCGCATTCCTTGGGGCAAAAGGAGCAATCAACCTCCGCAGGCGTTACTGACCCAACGTGCAGATAGGACCGCGACGCCCGAAACAAACGCCTCTGGTATGGAAGGGGGTCCCTGCAGGGCACGGACCCATCGGCGGGCAGGCATAACATGTGTGGCACTTTTCCAAGTGGCACAAGAACGAGAAAAGGAACACAGAAAAGCCAAAAATAAATAAATAAAAACATCAACAACAAGAGCAAACGATCAATGAAAAATACTCTGCGCAAGGGGCATAAGTGAAGACGCCGCCAAGACCATAAGCACACAACTCCCGAGAGAACCATAAAGATTGTGTCAGCACTCGTGTCGGTAACGGGCTTCACATGCCTTCTTACCACTTCTGCTACATCCATAGCTGCTCCTCCTTCCTCGGGAGATGACCCCACCCAACGTTTCCTAAATTAATACACTTGCCATGTCACGCCCTTGGGCAGCTCAATAGTTGAATCTCCTTCAGAGCGTGCGTGGACAGAGGTGTGTGTGTGTGTGTGTGTGTGTGGAGACACATGCATGCTTCATCGTCTCCTGACAGAATTGCGTCTCCGCAGACACACACGTAAAAAATGCCACAAAGCAACAGTCATAACAACAACAGTAAGATAAAAACAAGTAAAAAACTGGAAGAAAGGGGGAAAAAAGTCGCCGGCGATTTAAAAAAAAAAGATAAAAAGGCTTTGGTGTTCGGAGCATAATTTAAAACACGGAAAAAAATGAATGAAACACGAAAAGTAGAAATGAGCTTTCTCTGCATTTCTACTCTGCGTGCACGCCCCAAGCCCCTTATGCGTCCTCTCCAGTCCCGTAAGCAAAACCTCAGATCCGGAACGAGGGCTCATTTCCCTTGTTCCTCTTTACTTTTGTATGCATCTCCACCATCCCTCCTAGTAATTAGTAATACTGCTTTATATTGCATATAGCTCCCTCCGCTTCACCTGCGCTCTTGGCACGTGACAACACAGCGAGTGTACCACTGGTGTCAAATCCCAAGTTGCAGCCAGCTCTACTGACGCTTCAGTTTGGCGATCCGCAGGTGAGGAATCAGGCCCTCAGCGCCCAGCGAGTGCTTGTATATTCCCCCGTAGAACACCCTTGTGGCATCCTTGCCCACGAACATGTCCAACATCTTCTTCCCTCCCGGGTGGGCGTCGTACCACACAATTTTCTCATCAGAGTGCGTGTAACCAGGGCCTGTTGGAACCGACCTCTGCAAATCAACAACACTGTCGTCAATCACAGTCAGTTTTTGACCCTGCCGCACAAGTCGGGCAATATCATCCCACGTGTACTCCTCAGTTGTGGGGAGCTCAAGCTCCTTTAACTGTTCCTCGAGGAGCCCCAGCTGCCTGCCGAGCTTACTGTACAGGAGCTTCTTCACGTTTCGCTCAATCACATCGTTAGGAGTGCGCACAAGATGGGTGGCCAGCCTCAAAAATTCACACAGACGAATAGTCCACTTGGTCGGATCGAAATGGTACCATTTGATGCCGTTGCGATAGTCCTGTGCAAACTCGTGATGAAAATTGTGGTACCCCTCGCCAAACGTTAGCAGTGCACAGACAAAGGAGTCATGTGAGGTATGACGATCGGAGTAATTCTGCACTGCGCCCAGCCAACCCTTATGGGCCAAGCTGTTGATGAAAAAGGTACAGTGATGCACAAACACCACCTTCGCGAGCCCCGCATAGAAGTACCCGCCAAGCCAATCGCCCCAGCCAAGGCCGCAGATCAACGTTGGGAGAATAATACCGGACACCATGGCAATTTTGAAAAAATGGCGATGCTGAAACTGAATGATGTTGTTGTACCTGAAATCACTCACGTCAACCTTCCCAAGAAGCGCATAATCCTGCTTCATGATCATCCAGCCCATGTGGGAAAAAAAGAACCCACGGGTGGCGTCATACGGGTCCTTGGGAGTGTCCACGTAGCGATGGTGGATGCGGTGATTGCGGCCCCACCACTTGGCTGAGCCCTCAAAAGCACCTGCGCCAGCAAACGCGCAAATCCACTGAAGTATCGGGTGTGCAATAAAGCTTCGGTGAGAAAAAAGACGATGATAACCAAAGGTAATACCAATCATGCCGTTAAAGACGTAGAAGAAAGCCGCCACCACGAGGGTCTTTGCCAACAGAGGAACACCCGCCAAAATAGCCACAAAAACCGCGATTGGAGGCACAGCTAAGACGGTGACAGCCAACCAGTTGATTTCGTAGTTGCCCTTCGTCCACTGTGGCACGTTACGTGATGCCTTTTCGTCAGTAACAGGCATATCCCGCGACTCCCATTGGCTCAAGGCCGTCATGGCCGTGATGCCCAGCTCTTATTGTACAGCGCACAGAATACACCCTTCGATGGAACCCTATTCTTTATTCCCACACCGATAATAAAAAAAAAAAAAACAGAAAACAAACAGCTCGTCCCGTCACGCCTAACGTGCCAACCCTAGCGAGGGTGAGCTGTAACCCACAAACGGAAAATAATTAATAAACAAAGGCGTTGTACAACTAACCGGCCTTGTTGTGAACTCAAGAAGTGGCCGTCTTTGGAGCCCCGCAACCGCAGTACCCCCTCCATGTGAAGGGCGTTAGTAGCAGGGCGCGCAATGGGGTAGCAGCACCACACAGCAAAACAACTCAAATTCCTACGCTGAAACCCATCAAGAAACACACATGGAAACCAGCGCAAGGGAGCAAGTGCCCCGCTCACCCACTTAGCCTCAATCTGGGCGCATACGTGCCCGACCACAGGTTTCAAAACAAAACAAAAATCACAGATTTCAAAAAAAGAAGGCCCCAGGTTCAAAGAGAACACCAATGGAGGCGACGTCAGGACCCGGACGCCATGTTCACGCCTACTTGGAGCGTTGGCGCATACGCCGGCGGCGTCGCTTTAAGCGCTTTATGCGCTTCTTGTGCCACTTGGGCCGCATGCCTCCTGGGCGACTAATTGTCCCCATTTCCTACCTAGTAGAACGAGAAGATGGGAAACAAAGGATGGTCATAGGCAGCGAGCAAGACAAAAAGCAAAAAAGAAAAAAGAAACAGACCCTCACGACGAGTCCACCACCCACATGGTGCACGACAAAAAACAGCGGCAGCAAAAGACGGTGAAAATTAAAAAAGAAAAAATCAACTCAAAACAGCAGAGCACTGACAGCAAGCACAGTTGGGCTATCCCATCCACAACGCCTTCCCTCTAGACCAGAG